ACACACACACACACACACACACACACACACACACGGTTCTAGCTTCTTTGACGCACCTCCCTAGACCCAAGAAAAAGCCCAAGCTATGTGGGCTCTATGCCTCTCAGACTTGGTGGGTACCCAATATCATTCAAGTCACTATGCGTTGATTACTGACCAGAAACATGTCCAGATAGAGACCAAGAGGGCTGCATCCAAAGAAAACAAACGCTAATGTATATTTGCTGCATGTTTGCTCTGCTAGAGCAAAGTAAACTTCCTTATTTGTTAAATGTTCAGTGCCTCACAAATGCCTTATTTTATCCCAACATCAAACCTAAATTGAGACAGTGCTGGCTTTAGAGCCATACCTACAGGATTGCCTAGCGGCAGTGAGGGTCCAACTGAGGTTGTGCAACATAAATTTGTAGTGAACCCAGTTGTGTGATTTTCCCCACCCCTTGTTAAGCAGCTCATATGTAGGAGTGAAGGTGACAAATGGTGGGAGTGACCCAAGGCTGAGGCTTGGCTGAGAGCAACTGACAATATGATAAGAGGGATAGAGAGCCAAGAGAACTGAAGGGTCAAGGGATTGGAGGTCATGGTGAGGACAAAGAGAAGGGTTTTTTTTAAGGCAAGACGGAGGGAGAGATGAAAAGCCAATAAGATACGATTAGACAGGGATTTCAGAATTCTGACACTAAGCTGGTGTCCAAATGAAGTGGTTCTGATATAGCACCTAATGAAACTAGAGATCTTAAGATTCCTTAGAAACGATGGCAAAGGTGATCCACTGCAAGTTTTTTTGATGGACTCCTTTTAATTTCAAATACATATGCTCTCTGAATCATTTTTGCTTAGCTAAGCTCACATAAAGCCTTTTAAAATCTCATATTTCCTTCTACTGCTCTTCACTGTTCTGAAAAGGATATAATCTAATCATACTGCTAAACAGTATCATTCAAATTAGATGGTACTCTTGGCCTTCCACCTCTACTTGGCAAAAAGATCAAATATATGTTGACTGAGGAAGTTTCTGGAGTTTCCTATTGTCTCCCTTGTTGTGATGACTGTTTTTCATTGGTTTGCAATTTCAATAAAGAATAATAATAGAAGCAATGTCTATTTTCTCTATTTCCTCTTTTTCAGTTTTAAGATTTTACTATCTACTGAGCTGAACTTAATGGAAATGTCAGGTTGGAACTATTCTAATCAGTAGTGTCATCTTCATGTCTTTAGCCTTCCTTTAACTTGGCTTTAGTTTTAACTTTTTTTAACTAATTAATAAGAATAACTGATTGTCACATCAATAGTCAATCATTTCCATGTCAATAATTCTTCTGATGTTCTATATTCATGAGGTCTAAGCTTTTCAATTCTAATCTTGATTAAAGAATTCATGATCTAAATATTGAGGTTTTTTAACTGCCTACAAGCCTATATCCTCTCACATGTCTTAATCTCAAACAATTTTTTCCCAAGATATTTTTTGCCATCCTTCCTTGTGCCCATCTTCACAATGAAGTCAATCAATCAAGTATTTACTATGTGTTTAACATGTGTGGACCATTGTGCTAAGCCCTGGGAATACAAAGACAAAAGTGAAATAGGAGCTAACATTTCAACAGGGTATGAACTCAAGTCAAGAAGCACTGATGAAGTACCTGATATGCACCAGGCCCTGGGCCAGCCCTGGGGATACAAAGAAAGGCAAAAACCAGTCCTTGCTTTCATTGAGCTAATGGGAAGAGACAACATACTTTAACTAAGGAAGAAGGTAACAAGTATACATATGAATATATATAGAACACATACAAACATATACAAAATGAATGTTATAAGGTACTCTGGGGAGGGGATGGATGCCCTAGTAGCTAGATGTTTGCTAAATCCTAAATCTCAAAGTATATATCAGTATAATTTAAAAGCTCTGGTCGGATTCCCTTCAAAATTTTAATACTCCCAACAGATAGATACTAGTACATAAATTGCAAATACCTTGAAGTAATAAAAAATATATTTTTGCTTATACTCATTACATGCAAAGCAAGGGGAGATAAGTAAGTGTCATGTGAAATGCTATCTTTCATCATTAGACACACCATCAAAACCAACTTCACCACATCTTTATTCACCTCTCAAAGAAAAACTTTCAAAGAAAAGTGAGTCACCCCTGATAGTTAGCTACAATTCATTCATGTCTTCAGGTTTCGTTTCATTTGTAGCCAAAATGTCAACATGGATACAGTTCAGTTGGTCCTATGGTATTATTGGACAAAACACATTTAAAACTGGTACTTAAACCAATGTTTTAAGGAAGTCTAAATAGCACCCTGTTCCCTCTTTTCTATAACTATTCTATCATATAGCTTAAGTCAAAGGTGGGGGGCTTGACAGAGGGAGAGGGCACACAGGCTGAAGGCCAAAAAATTTCATCACCTAATAAAAAATCTTCTAGAGCTTAGTCTTCTTATTCAAAAAAGACTACCTGATCTGGAATTATATTGAAAAAGTCAGCTTGCGTACCACACACATAACATTTAAGAATCCATATTATTGGGGCAGCTAGGTAGCGCAGTGGATAGAGCACCAGCCCTGAAGCCAGGAGGACCTGAGTTCAAATCCGGCCTCAGACCAAACACTTGACACTTACTAGCTGTGTGACCCTGGGCAAGTCACTTAACCCCAACTGCCTTAAAAAAAAAAAAAAAGAATCCATATTATTAAAAAAAATTTTTTTAATTAAAAAAAAGAATCCATATCATTTGAACAATACAACAAGGTATATTTATATTTCACGTAGAGAAATACTGAAACATATACAAAAGGTAATATATAAAGGAAAGAAAAAATCAGAATAATTATGCACCCTGATTATGCCTATATATCTTTTTAACATATAAGAACATAAAAGAAAACCAACCAAAAAAATGGACGGGTACAGAGCCAAGATGACACAGTAAGAAGTAAGTCGCTCCCACCCTCTTTTAATGACCTCAAAAAACCCAGGAAATATTGCCCCAGGAAAAACCCTGGAACAGCTGAGCCAGCAGAAAGATGGAGTGTAGCAGTCTCGTAACCCAGGAAGCTTGGAGGATTAACAGGAAAGGTCCCTCCTGCTCTGGTGGAAGGGGAGTAGTACAGGATAGGAGGCACCCCAGCAAGCCAACAGCAAACCCCACCCTAGCAAACCAGGGAAAGATCCTAAGCCCCAGGGTGGTGGAGCAGGCAAGAACCAACACCAGGACCTACCAAGTGCCTTAGCACAGGCAGGGGAGCTTGGAAAACCACCACATGCGCCAGTGGGCATCTTCCAGCAGCCAAATATTCCAGTGCTTCAAAGAAGCTTGGGTGAGCAGGCGTCCTCCAGGGGCCAGAACCCCCACCCTCACCCCAAAAGCTTCAGTGTTGCTGACCCGAGCTCAGCACCAGGTAAGCTGCCAGGCCCCTACAGCACCTGAGGCCCCCGCACACAAAGCCAATGACCAGGTCCCTGACCCCCAGCACAAGAAGCTTAGGTCAATGTCCCTTGTGCTCCAGCAGAAGAGTTCAACTTAAAAAGCCAAGAAATAGGCAAACACCATGAGCAAAAAGCAGAAACAGACAATGACCATAGATTCTTATTATGGGGACAGGGGAGATCAAAACACAAATTCAGAATAGGATATTGTCAATATATCCACATCCAACACCTCAAAAATTTGATACTTATTCCCTCAAAGAGGAATATGAATTGGTCTCAAGCCCAAAAAGCCTTTTTGAAAGAGGTCAATAAGGATTTTAAAAGTCAAATAAGAGAGGTAAAAAAAAAAAAAGGGAAAAGAAATTAAAAGTATGCAAGAGAGAGTCAATAGCTTGGAAACGGAAGGACAAAAAAATGGATGGGTACATGGAAAAAATAAGAAAAAAATGTACTGCTTATTTTTTTTTCATTTTACATTGTTCTGAATGTTCTTTTTATTGGTTTATTATATTATTTGAATTTTACAATGAAAAAATTACTCATAAAATTTTAAATTAGTTTCATATAACTTTAAGAAATATGATTGTTAATAAATTACCAAAAGACTGAAAAATATAGATATCAAATATATAGTGTCGTGAGTGACAGAACCAACATTCATTCTTCATCTTAAACATTAATTCTACAAAAGTATAAAAACAGTTACCTTTTAATATTAGTTAAAAGTCAAGAATATCAGAATATTTTCCCATTAAAAATAAATATATTTTTTAGTTTCCAGTCTTGATGCTTCATGTTACTCAATACAAACTAGACTTTAAAGCCAACAAAAGCTATGATAATAGCAAGTGTTATATTTTTAAATAACAAGCAAGGACTATTTCACAGCAAGGACAAAATCCCATGGAACAAAAAGAAACATGTCCACCTTTAGCTCCTTTAACATTTATCATTTTTGCAACATTAACCATACAATTTGTCTTTACTAAATTTTAAAACTGCTTTATCATATTTCCACCTTTGAAAGAAAAGTCCCATCAGTTCAACACTTACTGTTTTACTGCCGTGCTGCAAAGTGATTTCATGAGAATCAGGTATTTTTTTGACAGGGTTCTGAAATGAGAAAATTACATCCTATGAGTGAATTTGAAGAGCCAATAACAAAACAAGGTATGATTTCTTTCAAATCAAGCATGTTACTAAAAACAATTAATATAAAATACAAGATAATAAAACAAAAGCTTCAATCCCAAAGAATTTTTTTTTCGATGCCTTAATAGATTTGGAAATAAAAGAAACTCATGAGACTGATCTCCCCCACCTAAAGACAGAACTTTACTTCATTACCTCAAGCAGATGAGAATGTATTATACTTTTTTTTATTCTCTAAACATATAATCCCCTTCAACAAGACATTTTTTGTGCCTTATAATTAATCTCAGTCATTCAATCTAAAGCAAGGGTGGGGAACCTGCAACCTCAAGACCACATATGGCCCTCTAGGTCCTCAAGTATGGCCCTTTGATTGAATCCAAACTTCACAGAACAAATCCCCTTAAATAAAAGGATTTTTCTGTAAAACTTGGACTCAATCAAAAGGCTGCACCCAAGGACCTAAAAGGCCACATACAGCCTCGAGGCTGCAGATTTCCCACCCCAATAAAGTCTAATTAATTGTTTTCCTATTTTTATAAGACAGCAAAAAAGATTGAGTATAACTTTCTTAATTATAGTAACCAATGGTTTATCTAATTTATTGGTTTTCTCCATAAAACCAATTCCTAGTTTTATTTATTAATTCAATAGTTTCTTATATTCAATTTCATTAATCTCACCTTTAAGTTTTAGGATTTTCAATTTGGTGTTTAAATGGGGATTTTTAGTTTGTTGTTTTTCTAGTTTTTTTAATTGAATGCCCAATTCATTGGTTTGCTTTTTTTCTATTTTACTGATATAATCATTTAGAGGTACAGAATGTTTTCACATTTTGTCTTATTGTCATTCTCTTTAATAAAGTTATTTATTATTTCCAGAAAAAAAGAGAATGACTTTTTTATATACATAAAAACACTGTGATTTAATACTACTATAGAAAAAGAAAGTAGTTTCAAACATAGAATAAAGGGGAAATGACTTTCAAGAATAGTTTCCAAAGAAAAAAATGAATCAATGACTTCTTATGACATGTTATATAAAGAAAAAATAATCAATAGGGCTATTGCCAATGAATAACAAGGAAGAAGAAAACAAATCTCCACAAAAAAAATTGGAAGAAATGCCAATATAAAAGACAAGCACAACACAGCACATTTTCTAGTACCCAGGCAAAATCAAACCTGGTGCCATGACTACACAAAGTAGCTAACTCTGCCACAAAAAATGAACAGGAAAGTTACCACTAATCATTTTAAATTAATGATTTTTCCAATATGAAATACAAGTGGTATAGAGATTGATGTAATGGTAGAGGCAGACTGATATAGTAAAACATGAGCAGGAGTTAGAAGACTCCTGGCTCCACTACTACTAGCAGCCTTTCTTGAATCTGACTTTCCTTAACAATACAACAAAGATGCAACAATTTCAATTCAATACACACATTTGTCTTTTGTTTCTCTAGCCAACTCTATCTCACTAAAAATATCAGGAGCTACGGCATGGAAGCATCACTCCATAGACTAGACTCTATGATCAACTAGATGAAGACTCTTTTTATAGGCTGATTTTCTATGAGGTTTATATGCATATATAAGAATATCACTTATTTCACTGCGTATAGTTAAGAGTAGAAGAATAGACTTAGGTCTCTGTTATTGTTGAACTTAAGTAACAATATACTACATTAGTTTTGGCTATCCTTCACTGACACAATGAATCTTTGTTCTAGGAAATGAAATGAAATGTTCTAGGAAATGAAAATGATTACCTCCTTACCTAAAGAAAGGTAAGAAGCACCAAGTTTAGAGAGAAAACACTGCTTTGCATTTACTATCTAAGAATTGATTCAGTTCATTTATAACATAGACCTGAGAAGATATAAAGGACTTGAACAATAAGAACAGAACAGAATGGGAAAATGAAAAACCAGACATTTTTCCATTTTCTCCTGAATTTTAACTCTGTAGAAATGTTACTTTTACAATATGGTTTCATTGTTTTGTTGGAATCATGAAAGCCATACTAGAGACAATCATATTCAACTTCAAGTTCAAGCACATTTTCACAAGCCAAACATAAATCCTCTACTCTAAATTATCTGGACCTTCCATTCCATTTAATTAATAGGAATAACAGTAAGGAAATTACTTTGTAAGCAATATGTAAAAGATACACTTAGAACAAACTATTACATTTTGTATTCTTCTAAAGAGTTCTTTCAAAACTCCACAAATAACATAAAAATTGTCACCAGAAAATCAGACTGAAGAAAATTTCATTGAAATACGGAACACATATGTGTGTACATATACATATATGTACTTAAATATGTTTATATATACATAAATATTCAACATTTTAAAGAATAAAAAAATCTAAGAACATAGATCAGCTTAATATTTGTTACAAAAGAGTTAAATGCTTATGTTTAAAATCAAAGTTTTGTTGAAAATCATGTAAGGCATAACTCACAAAAAGCACACATAACTGGCATAACTAAATCATCTAAAACAGCAGCAATCCAGTTTTTTTTTTTTTTACGCATTCAGCTGATATTGACTATTCTTTTGCAGAACTTAGGACTTTTTGAAATACGGCTTGGTGTGAAATTTATGAAAGCATTCAAATATTTTTAAGATTGGCTAGGCCAGGGATGTCACAAAGCACAAGACTACAATGAATTTTTTTTATTACCAGAATCTATAACAAGTAGTGCAACTTTAAAGTGAGAAAAAAAATTATCTGTTTGCTTCCAATGTCAACAAATGATCATCTCTCAGGCTTTTTTCTATGCCCCCCACAACAACAAATAAAGCTACCATATCTTGAATACTGTGAAAGATTCCATCTGATTTCAATCTTTGCAAGGATTTCAAATTTAATAAACAGAAACTTGTTTTCTGGGACAAAAGTCAAAAGCTAAAAAAACAGTAAAGTAAACATGCACTGTGACAGAAAGGGTTCCCGGTAAGAATCCTGCCAAGAAACGTATAGAAGAGGGCTCATACCAACCAGGAACCTAAAAAGAAAAGGAGCTGTTTCCCCTCCCTGAGAAGTTTCATGCTGATCTAGCCCTGGTGGTACATATAGTAGCAGAGCAGACCAGGTCTACTCAAAAGTAAACTTGGCAAATACAGGCCCATAAGGGTCATGGGAAATTTAGACATTACTTGAGTCAAAAATTCTGAACCAAAAACAATGAAATTAATCCACATCCACCACAGATTAAAATAAAACCCCTGTTGTTTCTAAAACTGGCTCTGTTCTAGGGCAGTCACCTGAGAACCTAGAGGCATCTAGTAAGACCACAGGTCCAAAGATGAGGCTAGACTCTGACTGATTCCTGCAGTCAAGAGCTGGTAATTGAGCATCAGAAAAATGGATGACCTTAAAATTTCAAATCCTATTTATTATATGTTGCATTATGGTTCGCTCAACACAAACTTACCACAATAAGAAATAATTTACATTTGATTAACTTCTACAACAACTACATACACTAGTTTTGGAAGAATAAAACTACTAATACTAAAATTATTTGAAGCATAAAGCTTTAAGAATCATCATCTACCTACTACCTTTTATGCCAAACAATGTTAAAAATATTAAATTTTATTCTTCAATGTTGAATTGCTTTCCTTTACCTTTAAAGAGTCCCTAGGTGCAATATGCGTTGGTTTTCTAATACTGGTGAAGATTTTATGCTGATTTAGTTACATACTCTCACTAATAATAAATCTATTAGATAAAGGGTCCCTATAATGCTTTCTGTATCATGGACCCCTCCTGGCAGTCTTGGAAGCCTGTAAACTCTTTCTCGGCATAATGTTTATTGCTTTGTGTTCATAAATGGACATGCTAAATTTCAATTAGAGGTAAGTGCAAATAAGTATGTATTTTTTTTTTCCCATTCAAGTTCACAGATCCCCTGAAACCTGTGGTATCATAGATCCCAGGTTAAGAACCTCAGTGTTAGAGGTTGGCAGGGGTGAGGGTCTTTTATCCAATGAAGACAGCAAAAACAACCCTTTTCACGATCAAACCCAAAAGACAGGTCCATTTAGCACTATATTCTAACCACAAAGCAAAAGGAGAAATTCTCTGTCTGCAACAGAAAATTTATGTTTAAAAGTAGTATAAAATATGATTAGATAATTAGAAGTGGGGGGCTAGACTGTGAAAAGTCTAGAATGCCAGAAGGAGGAGCTTGGACTATATAGGCTAGGAAGCTATATCATAATTCTGAGCAGAGAAGCAATAAAGAAACTTGTGTTAACCTGTCAAGAGCAGAGAGATGGAAACCAGAGAGACAAGCTGGTAGGAAATTATTAGGATTAATTTATATATCACGTGATATGAACCTAAATTAGAGAAGGATGGTAGTAGACATGGAAAGAAACAAAGAGGTAAGTTTTGTTATCGTGATAAAGTAAGAGGCAGAACCACCATACCTATATTCTATCTACCTCACTTTGTTCACTCAGCCAGCTCAACTAAATGAATCAGAGTTCCACTAATCATGTCACTCTGACAAGAGAATATCCACTGTTTTGTTATTTAACTGAGGAAGTGTCCTATTTAATATAAATCTGTTTTCCTTAAACGTTTCACTCTGACAAATGCTAAATATTACAGAGCTCTCCATTCCCTCAACAGGCCAATTTTCTTGAAGTATTATTTTCTCTTTGAAATATACATCAAGAAATTTGTTTCATGCAACTCGATATACAAACAAATCACCAAAAACTTTCATAAACTTAAAAACAAACGTGGTGGAGATTATCACTCTTTAAAAAGAAAAAGGCTGACAGTCAGACATTTTCTTAGGAAATAAATTATTCTATTGCTAAGGAATCCAGTAAAAATAATCTTGATTAATTTTGTAATCAAAACAAATGCAACACTGAAAAGATATCCAAATAAGACACTGAGCATTTGGGGAATTGTACCAGTAC